TTTTAAAAACAAACAAAAATTTAAAAGCCTTTTTATTTCCTTCACCATTATTGTTTTACAATACAAATATCACTTTGTGAATACACAAAAAAACCCTACAGTAGATAATTCTGCTGCACGTAAAATACAGAATGGATATATATATACTTCTTCATTCTTAAAAAACTATTTTGTTCTCCACATTGGCAAGTATAGAATAGAATACTTCCCCAAACATACATGTTAGGAGTAAAATTTAAGAGTTACATGCAGTTTCTGCACAAATATATTTTAAAGAAATAGATCTCTTTTGTTGTAGACCAACAAAATTGTCATGAGAGTATGGGTAACAATTTGTAGCTTTCAAGTTTTAGGTAAGTGATCATTTTCAAAACTCTCTTTAAAAAAAGATATTCATGGCTGTTTTCATAGAGTAGTTAAAATCAAACTACCAAATAGATGATAAAATAATTTAAGTGGTACATGTCATTGCTACTTGCTCACAATATGTGAACAAGTTCTGATTCTAATAAACATCCCCATTCTTTAAATCAAAGCAATTTTAAAACCATAAGCAGTCTTCTGATTGAATTTAGCTATAAATGCAAAAATTTTGTATACATATGTTTATATTTTTGTGGAATTACTTTATTTTAAATAAAAACATTAAAGATTGCCTACAAACCATACAATCAAGACAAGAGAGGCACTAGAAACATAGACACATTTCTCTCCCAAGAAGCATTTTACATTTTAACTCTCTTCTCTCTGACATGTAAAAATCTTTACATTTGGTTTTCATAACATCATTTTGAAAAATAAAGTTAGGAAATACTTAGAAAATCACTTTATAACAGATTTTTTTTCCTCTCTTTTGGACACACCATCTCTGTTGATTTTACAAAATCCAAAGTTACCAAACCTCTCTGTGTCTGTGACTTTTATTTGAACATTGGTGCAACAGGCAGGAAGATTTCAGAGTTGAACCCCATTCAGGTACTTAGAAACCTTCATAGAGACATCTGCTAGAAAATGGCTTACAGCCCAATCTTTGGGGCAAGAGAAATGAAAAGCATGTTTTCCCAAGAAAATAATATGCTTTTTTTCCAGATATGACTGGAAAGACCAGAACTTGATACAAAAGCTTACATTTATACTACTGCTTCATATACAAAGGAACATGGTGGCTGCGGGTAATGTAAATCCCAAATTTATGAACAGAAAATGTGTACAGTGCATGATAAGTTAAATTTTCTTTATTGTTGTCCAGCGCAGGTCCTTTGGAGAGAAATAAAGCTCACAGTGCTGACCAGGTAACTCAATAGGATAAGTCAAGGTAACTGTTGAAAGATAATAGAATTAGGGAGGTGTTTATTTTATGGCATCTTCTCTCATGGAGTTCTTAGCACTTGGGACAGTTTCTCACTCCCCCACTTTGTACAGCTGTTATGTGTCGTTCACCAGCCAGCTGTATTTAACTTGCTTACCGAGGTGGACTACGGGCCAGGGAAAAGGCCAGTGGTAAGATCGAGGTACAATTCTTTGGACATTCTTTTCAAAGTACTGAAATGGCCTGTACCACCACACCCTGGCCAGGAGGTTCATCTGGGAAGCTTCCTTTAGCACTTGCTGATTGGCCATTGTGTGATACCACCAGAAGAGTTGTGTGGTGATGTAATATGCCACCACCACGTCCACAGTGTAGTGGTCATGCGCTAAGAGAATACAGAAGATTCCAACGACGCTGAGCAGCCAGCAAATCCAGTGATACCACCAGAGTCGTCGAGGTGAATACTCTTTGATAAATAAGTAGGTGAGCGTTAGCATGACCATGTGCCCGCTGTACAGATAGTCCCCACACATGTTGTGAGAGCCAGTGATAGACAAGCCACCTCCAGCAATCAGCTTCATTATTCTCCGCACTTGGGCTTCCCAGGCACCAAAAAGCTTCGGAGAACAGTTGAAATGCATACCAGGTACTGGGAGTGTAGTTACATACATTGTAATACACCGATACAGGTACAGCGTGCCAACTATGTAGAAAAATCTTCTGCTAATAATAGACTTGTATTTTAAGAGTAGCCATTGAATTAACCAAAGTCCTACAAGGATCATGCCATTAATTTCACAAATAGAAAAGGCCCACTGCACCCGGTTAAAATGGTCAAAAAATGTGTCCGGTAGTGGAGGCTGCACCTCCTTAGGAGGTACTCGTTCATGGATGACCGAGATCATCACTGTGGTGAGGACAAAACAGGAAAGTGCATAAATAAAGGCCAGAAAAGTCTTGCCCCACTCCATGGGGTACTGGAAGCATTCCAGTTCTGGCATGGGGATCTGTATCATCTCTTTCCTAAACCCATTTGGTATCCCATTGGGTTTTGCCTTGATGTTGAAGCTGCCTTCAGGGGTGGAGATGTCTACGCCAATGCTCAGGTGCCCATTGGCGTGGCCATTCTTGTGTGCTTCCATGTGGTGCTCCATTTTCAGGGTCTCTATCATGTCTAAGAGCCGCTGCCCGTTGTCTGAGGAGACTTGGGACAAGGGGAGTTTTGTGAAGTCCTCTTGGGTTAGGCTGATCAAGTCTTGGCCTGTAAAATGTCCCAGAGGTTCACAGTATTCTGGCATAGCATTCTCCAGGAGCCAGTCTGCCACCTTCTTGGGTGACCAATAAACCACTTCCTTCATTGTATTAGCAGACAACAATGCAGTCACCAGCTTGCTCTTGAAGGTCAGCAGTCACTGTTCCTACAGGGCAGGACATTGTCCCTCCTTGGCTGGTTTATCTCGTTGGGCCTCACAAGTGGGGCCTCCTTTGGCAAGATGGTCAGGGCAGTTTTTTAAAACTTCATGTAGCTGTCCACGGTTTTGAGTGCCCCAAAATTAATTCACCTTATTTTTGAACCGGATTCTTCCTTAGATTATGCAAAAAAATTCTTGTCATCTTGGCTTTCTATAAGTTACCAGCTTCTCCCATTGTGCAAGTACATTTCCGTCACCTCTGGCAGCTACGGTTCGCATCTATGAACAGGTTGCTTGACAGTAATTCCCATGTACACTTCCTGATGTACGCTCTTGTCTTACATTTCATACGTTTCTCAATCAGACGCTTTTGAACATTCCCAGGGACTCAATGGTATTCCTGAATCATGTTGTTTTTCTTCATTAGTCTTCTTTCCAATCTATGTAGTCTTTTATATGCCTTCCACTGTACTCCAACCTCACTGTTCTTGAAATTCGGAGAGTCCACAACTCCCCCAGGCACTGAAGTTTTGTTTGAATGGCTATCTTCTTTCAGCTAATCAAAAATGAACTGCTAAGTATGCCCAAGGACACATTCAGGGCTCACCCATTCTGCCTTCACCTAGCGCCTGAGTCTGGAGAGCCGCCGGAATTCCGTTCGCCGAGCCCCCGCCGCGGAAGGAAATCCGGGGTAGTGCCGCGTCGAGGCTCCGCGCCCGATCGCGCTCTCCGGCCGGCTTGCCAGGCCGGAGGGCAGAGCAGCTGCCCAGGCCGGCCCTCCCCGCTCCTGTCCTACCTGCCTCCGGCCAACGCTGCCCCGGCCCGCTGCCTCGCTGGTTGATCTGACATCTTTTTAAGGATCACACGTCTGCCAGTGACGTCACAGACAAGTCTTTGTGCGGGAGCGGGAATTGTTGGTGTCACCACACAGCCGGTGATTGGCGGTTTCCAGGCCCGCTGGGTTCCGGGGCGAACCTGTCTCTCGCTCGCTTCTCCGGGTGCCTTCCAGTCTAGTCGATGGGAAGGCAGTGGCCACAGCGGAACAGATGCCAGAGATGGACAAATGAGTTACGGATCTCTCTCCCTAGTGCGGAACCATGAGCCCTGTCTCGCCCTGTGTCAACGTGATTCAAAGCACGGTTAAATCACCTCCTTTCTTGGCCAGCTTAACATTAAAGGAAATTACCAAAAACATAACACCATTAAAAAAAAACATTTCATTATCCAACTTGATAACTCCTTAGTTTTTTCCATATTCCTGGCCAACATCGTCCTGAGCCAGGATCTCAAGTCCCATCCCCAGATGCCTTTCTTTTCCTCTTCATTTCGCCTCTCCCAGCCGGTACAGTGGTACCTCGTTTCGGGAAGTTGATTCTTTACCGACTGTGGTCGCAAACCGAATTTGACAAGAACGGAATCAAATTTCCCCAGGAGATCGACACGGAATCAAAAGTCGTGAGGTAAAACTTTCTCACTAAATCATTTTACCTTCTCAGTCAAGTCTCCAACACTGGTGAGTACCAGAGTATCAATGAGAATGACTCAAAAGACCAATGTTGCTATGGACTCCATTTAAATCTACTGTCCTACGTGAAGGTTTCCTAGGGCAAACTGATTTTTTCTTTCCAGTTGCGGTCTTGCAAACTTCACAAAGTGAGTAATACTATTTGAATGTGGCTCACGAAGCCAGAAACAGGTATCCGCAGCGCCACGGGGTTGGAGCGGGATACAGGATTACACCGGCGGCTCCTTAGGTAAATCGGACCTACCTAGCCTTCCCGAGGTATTTCTCTTGCTGACTCATGAGCAACGGCAAGTTACAGCCCATTAAGCAGCTTCCAGGTTTTGGAGTAAACTTGGTCTCCACAGAAGATGACTCCTGTGTGTCCAGGCCGTTTATCCGTTATTCCCCTGTCAGTAGATATTATCACAGAATATCAGAGCTGGGCAATTTGGGGTTATATTAGTAGCCCAGTTGTCTCACTTTTCAGAAGAAACTGAAGCCCAGAAAGGCTGAAAATCTAAGTAACAGAGTTCTTTTGAGGCACAGTTATGATTTTGAGCATACTGACATTTAAGTTAGGGTCCTATCAGCTTAGGTTTTTGTTTGTTCGTGTGTTTTTTAGGAGCAGGGTATAGTGCTTGCTTAGCCTTCCTAAGGTCCAGAATTTTATTTCTAGCATTGCAAAAAAAAAAAGCAGACCCCATAAATGGTTAAATCAGTTCTTATTTTAAACATGCAAGATGTTACTATTTTTACCTAGTTTACCCTTGTTCTTTTTTTTTGAGCAAGTTGCTAAACGTGGTTACACCTCAACACATCCTAATAAAATCAACTGTGAAGTGCTAAGCCCCAAACACCTATGTCTCATTCAGGTCACAAGATGGTTGTGAAGATTAAAGATAATTCAGTATATGGTTTGATAAATGCGAGATATTAGGTCATCCATAAGTGCTAGAGACGATGCTATACTTGTTTACATTGTGGGGGCTCACCAAACCTTTCGTTAATTGGATAAATTTGATACTCATGATTCAGGTACTCGAATTATTTAGTCTTCTGTATGTCATTTGTCATTCAGATATGCTCGAAATGGGGCTACAGTAATTAATGAACATATGCATGTAACATCTATCTGGTGACTTATCTATCCATCTATTTTGGCCCTGCTCCTGATGAGAACAATAAAACCAAATGCAGTGAACTCTTGACTTACCCGAACTCAGTTCATTCTCAAGGGCTGGTTGTAACTCAGGTTGGTCAGCAAAGGCTCAGGCTCTGCTACACAGCTCTCAAAGTCTCTCTCCTGTACACGGGCAGGTCTCAGTATCCTCAGAGAGACACTGGCCCAGGATATCTCAACCCCACACAGGAAAGGATGTTGTCATGTTCCTTCCAGAACTCTTTAAGGGTTAGATCTGTATCTGAGACCCTCTGGAAGCACAAGCAGCCGGCATTCAGGTTGTAATGCAAGACCTTGTTAGTAAGCTAAAACTAAAATTCTGGCTGTCACCCAAGTTGTTCACCTGTCAGGCTGGTCATAACTCGAAGATCCACTATTTCATTAAACTACCACCACCATCACTGCTGGTGACTGTGGTCCTGTACTCAGCGGGACCCCTCATCCCGTCTTATCTCACGAAGCCTCCATGAGGTACAATAGGTAAGAATCCTGTCCTCCCTCAGGCTCCTTCATGGTGTTACGTGTCATTGAGACAAAACACCCAACACCCACTACTTAAAGGAAAGATAATTTACTGGTTCACAGTTTCAGTGATCATCCAGCTCTATGACAGAGACACCAAGGACAGGAGGGCAGGTGGCCGGGAAGTAGGAGAGAAAAGGGAGAAACCAGGGACAAGAATGTATCCTTCTAGGTCATCTCACCAGTGACTCGCCTCCAACAGGCCCTGCCTCTGACAGCACGTTTAGCCACCGATCACATCCATGAATGCATCTACTCATGAAGATAGTGCCCCCATGAGCCATTTATCTTCCAATCAAATGAGGCTTTTGGAGGGGGACATTTCAGATCTAAACCATAACGTTACACGTCTGGCTCTCAAAAGACTCATGTTCATCTCATTATGCAAAATGTATTTAGTCCGTTTTTAAGAGTTACCAAAGTCTTAACGGTGCCAGCATTGCTGGAAAGTCCAAGTTTAAAGTCTCCTCTGATACTTAAGGCAAACTCTTAGCTGTAAGCCCCTGTAATAAGTCAAAAAGAAAGTGAAATATTTCCATTTCAAAGGGGAGAAGAGGGAGATAGAAATGAATAGGAACAGGGAAAACACTAAATCCTGTAGCTCCATGTTCAGCACGCAGGGCACAGTGTGATGCAATTCAAGCTCTAAAGGGTTGGGATGGCCTTGCACGTTGCAGCCCTCTTAGCCTCTCTCTTTCTCTGGATGAACTAAGAGGGTCCTCTCCTGTATCACTGAATACTTCTCTAAACTGCTGAGTCCCACATTAGCATTTTTTCCCATCCTGAAGTTCCATGCTCTGATATTCAACTGGCTACTTGACTGTAGGAGCCCAGCCATGGCCCTCTAGGCCTTTGACATTTAAAAGGAAACTTCTTCACCTCTACACTCAAGGCATTGATACAATCTATGTAACATTTGTTACTTTTCTAGGACTCTGCTTGTTAAAATTGTTTTTTGACCCTGCAATGGGAGAAATTCAAAGAGACAGCCACAGATCTGATGTTCTTTGTAAAGAGTCAGAAAATCCGTCTTTGCATAAAGATACAAATAGTTGCTTGGTGCTTCCTGTTGATAGGAGCCTATAGAAGGAGCTGTTTCTGTGAAATAAATCAGACTTCTCTTGGTCTCCTCTCAGGTTTGAGTGTTTCCTTTCTCAATCCCCACTTCCCAACTCAGGCACTTTCGTGTTGTGAGGGCTGGACCGCCATACCTGATGTCTCCATTTGAATGTCTAATTAGCATCTCAAACCTAATTTGATTGCGTTGCAACTACAGTGTTACAAACACAGTCTTCCTAAATTTACGCCAGTGGCACCACCATCTACTGGCTGCTCAAGCCAAAAGTCAAGACGTCTTAAATTCCTTTCCTTCACACCCCTTGGGTCTATCAATAAGTCCTAAAGTGTTCATCTCCAGAATATTTCCAGTATCTATCTTTTTCTTCTTGTCTGCTACCGTGACCTAAGCTCCTCTTCTCCCACATGGACACCGCTGGTCTCTCTGCTTTCCAGTCGTTATGTCTCAACTGTACAACAGCTGAGATTGACCTTTGAAAAATTCAAGTTATGTAAAAAAACCTTTCAGAGGTTTTTGACAAAATTGCAAATATAAAATTAAAATCCAATGCTCACCATTCAAAGAACTATGCGATCCCTGCCCACCTCTGGCCTGTCTTCTAAGGTCTTTCCCACAATAACCATCCTTTAGCTCAGAGGCCTCATCTCTGGGTCTTTGCACTTGCTGTTTTCTCTACCTGAAAGCTCTCTCTCTGACAAGGATACACCTGCCTCTGTGTGGTACTTCATGGAAGGGGCAAGGAGGAGGTGCTGAAATTCAGCTCTCATCCAGCAAGTCAAGCCCTGGCTCAAACATGGCTGGAACCAGAGGCGTCTTCTGATTCCACAGAAGCACTGACCAATGGCCAGACCATGTGCCTGTGATGTGGGGTCCTCCCAGAGCAGTGTCACTTTCTAATCAATATTATTTCTGAGCTGAGGACATAGCTCTGTGGTACAGCGCCTGCCTTGCATGCACAAGACCCTGGCATGTGCAATCCCCAACACTGCAAAAGGGAAAAAAAATATATCATGTGGCTAAAAAGAAGGGAAATCTAGCAGTCCCTGAGCATTCACTTTGCATGTCTTACGCAAACATCACAAAAGCTCATGGGACTAATATCATCCCAATTTTTTTTTTTTTTTTTTTTTTTTTTTTTAGTGCAATACTGACAATTGAATCCAGGACCTTCTCACTGAACTGTATCTCCAACATTTTTTTTTTTTGACGTTTTGAGACAGGGTCTCACTAAGTCACTAAATTGTCCAGGCTAGATTCAAACTTGCATGGTGCATGCCTATAATCCCAGTACCTGGGAGGCTGAGGCAGGAGAATGACCATGGGTCAGCCTGAACTGCATAGAAACACCGTGCCTCAAAAAACCTTGCAGTCATCTTGCCTCCCAAAGTACCTGATTAATGTCCCTGTTTTACATGTGAGAACTATACACCAAGAGGACAGACAGCTTAATCCAGAGTTAAACTTGACCTCCTCTTCTATTGCACCATTCTGCCCCTGAAGACAAAGAAGCAAGGACACACTCAGAAACTTCCTCCCTACTCCTCTGTTTTAACTCTACTTGTTTGAAGATATTTGTAGGACAATTAGAAAAAGCTATTACCACTCAGCTGTAATCCTTAAGAGTAAGTTATACGAGGTGTGACGATGTATGCTTGTAATTTCAGTGCACTGAGAGGCTGAGGCAGGAAGACTGTAAATTCGAGCCCAGCCTGGACAATTTAGCAGTTTAATGAGATCCTATCTCAAAATTTTAAAACAACATTTTTTTTGTGTGTGTATGCCAGGGATTGAACTCTGGTCCTTGTGCTTGCCAAGCAGGCTGTGGAACCACTGAGCTAAATCCCTGGCCCCTAAAAACAACATTTTTTTAAATGGCTGGGGATATAACTCAGGACAAAGGGACCAGGTTCAA